GAAAGAAGGCGGTCAGACCCTCAAAATTTTACAAGCAGGGAACAGGTTGATATAGCTACTCAGCTTCAAACACATGCTACTTTTCATGAAAAAGGATGACTCAGAGGGTGGAGATACAAGCCCAAAGGACTGAGCCACAATTCACAGAGAGTTATTCCCGGCCCTGAAATCTAAAAAAATGTGTCCATTTTAATTTCAAAATTTCTTGGTATTGGTGACTCATTTTTCCTTCCATTTTCTCCCCTTTCTAATGGGAATATCTATACCTACTATCCTATATCTTTTCCTATCACTGTATTTTGGGAGCAAACTACTTGTTTTCTAGATTCATAGGTGAACACATGGTAAGAGACTTCAACCTAGGATGAATTACAAGAGATTCACCCATATCTAGTTTAGATTATTTAGATGATGAGATTTGTGACTTTTGAGCAGATAATAATTAGATGACATTTTAGACTTTGGGTTGATGCTATTATCAGTTGGGACTGTGGGGGAACATGGATGGAATAGTCTGGATGTATTTTGTATGTGGGATGGATGTGAATATTTTGGGGCCAGAGTGTGTATTGTAGTGAACAGGATAATGATTCTCCAAAATGTCCCTATCTTAATCTCCAGAAGCTGTAAATAGGTCACCTTACATGGAAAAAGTGCAAACAACTGGTCAGTTATTTTGTATGATTCAGTCAACTTGGAGTTTTAAACGTCTTCTCATGATTATATTTAGGCTATGCATTTTTAGGAAGAAGTGATGCTGTACCCTTCTGAGTGCATCATATTAATGATACAAGATGTTAATACATCTTCTTACTGGTGATGCCAGACTTTTCCACCATAAAAACACTATTTTCCCCCACCACATTAATAAGTATCTTACAGAAAGATATTTTGAGACTATGTAGATATTCTGATTCTTGCCATATTTTGATCCACTAATTTTAGTATTTGTTAATTATTCTTGTCTGCAAATCTTGTTATTTATTGTAGTGATTTGCTATTTTTCTTATTCATCCTAATTTGTTAAATAAAATTCTATGGTAAGAAAGGGCTGTTAATTCTCCCACTTCTGTATTTGTTTGTTCACATAGGTATGAAATCATATATAGTTACTTTTTTCTCTGGATTATAATTCAATAATATCATTATTTTTTTGCTCAAATATTCTATGACCATTTGGACCAATTTCATGTTGGCTCCTGTGTCCTTTCATTGTGTCCCTGCAATTTGTTAGTACTTCTTTACTTTCTGGCACCAAAAGACATTCTAATCTCATTTCATATTTTCTATGCTCCAGACCTGGAATCAGCTATTTCTCCAAACAGTCCTGGTTATTTTATTGGAGAATGTATTTAGAAACCAAGATCTGGCTACTAAGTGTGCTTATTACTATGGGAAGGACACTGCTTCTAGGCCCTCTCAGCAGACAGAGATACATACTTATCGATATTAACTTGTGTATCTATCTGTATATTTCTAACAAATGAGTTCCCGTTGATTCTTTTCATTCCAATAAAGTACCACAGTAATAACTGTAACCTTCACCCTTTGTTTATTTTTAATGTCTGTCTCCAGTAGCAATAAATCTAGCTTTTAATATTAATAATATACTTATTTATTTAATCCTAGGATATAAGTACATTAGTGTCAGAATTGCTAACCCATACCCCCGTGAGAAATAAATTTAGCAACTAGAATAAATTGTCTGTGTACAGTTTTTTTTTGTCTGTAGTCTTAAAATATAGAGTAAAAATACTGTTTTCCAAATTACTTCTGTTAGTTTTTTTATTTTTTATTTTTGTCCCGTCCTCTTCAATATGGCTGTTACGCATTTGTAATATAAGGTTCATTTGATACTGTGTGTACTTCGCTTTGGGTTCTTCCCACTTTCTGGTTGATTTTATATATTTAGTTAGTTTGAGTACATGAAATATTACTGATTCTATAAATCAGACCTATGCAAAAATAAATCCACAAAAGTTTGCTCAGAGAGTGGCTCCTCTCTTATCCCTACTACACGACTGTCATCCCATTCTTACCAACATATGCCTGTCAAAAACCAATTCATTATGTTCTGGTTTACCTGTCCTGTAAATCTTTTACACAATGAGCAGACCCATTCTATTTTCTTACAACCCCTTCCTTCTTACGTGAAGGGTAGTATATTACAGATACACTTTTGCATTATGCTGTTTTAATTTAAGAACATATAATGGAAATCATTCCATATGGCTTGTAGAGATCTTCCTCATTTAAAAAATTAAATATATTTTGTTAAACAAAATATGTCCAAAATATTATCATTCCCACATGCAACAAATACGAAAATTTTTATTTTGTTTGTATTTTCTATTTATTTTTATTTTTTTTTTTAATGTTTTATTTATTTCTAGGAGAGAGAGACACAGCGTGAGCAGGGGAGGGTCAGAGAGAGAGGGAGTCACAGACTGAAACAGGCTCCAGGCTCTGAGCTGGCAGTCAGCACAGAGCCCGACGCGGGGCTCGAACCCACGAACGCGAGATCATGACCTAAGTGAAAGTCGGACGCTTAACCGACTAAGCCACCCAGGCGCCCCTGTATTTTCTATTTATTTTTAAATAATTATAGATTCATAGGAAGTTGCAAAGACAGTACAGAAAGGTTGCATATAACTGTCACCTACTTTCCCCCAAAAGGTGACATTTTACATAACTACCATATAATATTAAAAGAAGAAAATTAATATGGGTATAATGTTATGTGATCTTATCACATGTAACCACAACCACAATTAAGATACTATTCCATCATCTCAAAGATCTCCCTAATGCTACTCTTTATAGTTATACCCACCATTCTTAGTCCCCACCATCACTACGCACTGGAAACCATTTATATGTTTTTCATCTCTATAATTTTGGCATTTTCAGAACGTTATTCAAATGGAATTATACAGGATGTAACCTTTTTAGATAGGCCTTTTTACTCTGCATACTGCCCTTGAGCCATCCCAGTGGTTGTGTATATCAATAATTCACACTTTATTGTTGAGTAGTATTCCATTATATGAATTACTGCAATATTCCATTATATGAATTACTGCAATTTGTTCAACTATTCACCCACTGAAGGACATCTACATTGTATACAGTTTTGGGCTATTACAAATAAAGCTTCTATTAACATACCTGTAGAGGTTTCATGTGAACATATTATTTCTCTGGGACAAATGCCCAGGAGTGTAAATGATGATTTATATAGTAAGTACATGTTTCGTTTTCTTTTTAATAACCTGCAAAACCTTTTTTAGAGTACCTATACCATTTTATGTTTCCACTAGAAGTGTATGAGTGATCCATTTTCTGTGTACTCTGACCAGCATTTGGTGTTATCACTATCTTTAATTGTTCTAATAGGTATGTAGTAATGTCTCACTGTGATATTAATTTACATTTCCCCAATGCCTCATGACCTTAAACACCTTTCCATGTGCTTATTTGTCAACGATAAATCTTTTTCATATCTTTTGCTCATTTTCTAATTGGGTTGTTTGATTTTTACTATTGAGTTTTGAGAGTTCTCTATATATTCTAGACATGATGAGTCCTTTGTCATATATGTGGTTTGCAAATACTTTCTGAAAATTGGTAGCTTGTTTTTTTTCATCTATTTAACAAGGTCATTCGCAGAGCAAAAGTTTTTAATTTTGATGGAGTCCAATTTATTGATTTCTTTCGTTAATGGTTTGTACTTTTGCTGTCATGTCTAAAAGTCTTCAATAAGACTCTTCAATACGTTCCAAAGATTTTCTCCCATGTATCTTCTAAAAGTTTTATAGTTTTAAATTTAAATGTATAATCATTTTGAGTTGATTTTTGTATAATATGTGAGGTTTAGGGTGAAGTTCACTTTTGTTGCCAATAGCTATGCAATTGCAACTATTTGTTAAAAAGTCTATCCTTTCTCCTTTGAAATATTTTTGAACCTTTGTCAAAAACAATTTGGCTGTACTTTGTGAAGCTATATGTGGATTCTCTATTCTCTTCCATTGATCCATATATTTATCTATCTGCCAATCTCACACTGTCTTGATTCTTGTAACAACATAGTAAGAATTAACATTATATTCCTCTCAATTTATTCTTTATTTTCAAAAATGTGTTAGCTCTGCTGGTTCCTTTGTTTTTTCACATATATTTTAGTATAATCTTTATAGATGAAACATCTTGCTGAGACTTTGACATCAAATACCTTAAACTTATATCAACTTGGAAAGAATGGATATCTCAATTACAGTTGAGTCTTCCACTCCACACAGGATGTCTCTCAATCTACCTACATTTTCTTTGATTTTTTCATCAGCATTCTGTAATTTTCAGCATATAAATGCTATAAATGTTTTATTAGACTTACACCTAAGTATTTCACTTGTTTTGAGAGTTTGTAAAACAGATTGTATTTTTAATTCATTTTCCACACATTCATTGCTAGTATATAAAAAATACAATTGAGTTTTTGCATGTTGGCCTTGTACCCTGTAACCTTGATAAACTCCTTTATTAGTTTGTAGGACATTTTCTTAATAGATTCCTTGTGATTTTCTAGGTAGACAATCATGCCATCAGCAAATAGAGAATGTTTTATTTCTTATGTTCTGAACTATATGTGTTTTATCTATCTCCTTTTCTTGCCAAATTACACTGGGTAGAAATTCCATTACTATGTTGAACAGTAGTGGTGAGAGAAAGTGGTCTTATGTTATTCTCACTTTTCAAAGGAAAGCATTCAATATTTCACCATAGAGTCTGATATTAGTTATAGGGTTTGTTTGTTTATTATCTATTTATTTATCTATTTATTTTTTTTCTCATTAAACTTTTCTTTTAATGGGTCTCAAAATTCTGTGACAGATTTTTGGTCAAGTTGTTTCCATGAAAAAGTACTGATTTTAAAAACTAATAACTTAAAACTGCCACACACAGAAACAAATGGTCCACAAAACATTCTCCTTTCCTTCTGAAGGTTTTATGATGCACTGTTATCATTAACCAATCTTTTACTATTAAACTTAAATGGCCAATTGACACAAACAGTTCTGAGACCGTTCTTCCACCACTGATTAAGACTGGGGTGGCAGGTATTGGGGATAATATTCACTTAGCCTTCTGAGCTTTCTGGGCAGACTTGGTGACCTTGCCAGCTCCAGCTGCCTTCTTGTCCACTGCTTTGATGACACCCACAGCAACCGTCTGTCTCATGTCACGAACAGCAAAGCGGCCCAGAGGAGGATAGTCAGAGAAGCTTTCAACACACATGGGCTTGCCAGGAACCATATCAACGATGGCAGCATCACCAGATTTCAAGAACTTGGGACCATCTTGCAGCTTCTTTCCAGAACGACGGTCAATCTTTTCCTTCAGCTCAGCAAACTTGCAGGCGATGTGAGCTGTGTGACAGTCCAGCACAGGTGCATAGCCAGCACTGATTTGGCCTGGATGGTTCAGGATAATCACCTGAGCTGTGAAGCCAGCTGCTTCCATTGGTGGGTCATTTTTGCTATCACCAGCCACATTGCCACGACGAACATCTTTGACAGATAAGTTCTTGACATTGAAGCCCACATTGTCCCCAGGAAGAGCCTCACTCAAAGCTTCATGGTGCATTTCAACAGACTTTACTTCAGTTGTAACGTTGAATGGAGCAAAAGTGACCACCATACCAGGCTTGAGAACACCAGTCTCCACTCGACCCACAGGGACCGTACTAATACCAACAATTTTGTAGACATCCTGGAGAGGCAGATGCAAGGGCTTTTCAGTTGGATGAATTGGTGGCAGAATGCAATCCAGAGCTTCAAGCAGTGTGGTTCCACTGGCATTGCCATCTTTACGGGTGACTTTCCATCCCTTGAACCAAGGCAGGTTAGCACTTGGCTCCAGCATGTTGTCACCATTCCAACCAGAAATTGGCACAAATGCTACTGTGTCAGGGTTGTAGCCAATTTTCTTAATGTAGGTACTGACTTCCTTAACGATTTCCTCGTATCTCTTCTGGCTGTAAGGTGGCTCAGTGGAATCCATTTTGTTAACACCAACAATAAGCTGTTTTACACCCAGTGTGTAAGCCAGAAGGGCATGCTCACGGGTCTGCCCATTCTTGGAGATA